AAAAAAAAAAAAAAAAAGTTATGAGAATTGTGAAAAAGCCTTGGGATTTAACTTTTCATCACCCTAAGCAAAAGACTTTCCAAGAAGCCCCTTCTATCCAGAAAATACTGTAGATATCCCCTTACATAAACTTTAGGCTATGTTTGATATATCAGCTAGCTAAGCTAGCTTATAGCTTTTAAGTGAATTTCGAGCTTATAGCTAATAGCTTATGACTTATAAATAAATAATTAGCTAGCTTATATGCTTACCAAACACAACCTTATAATTCTCAAGAACCTTAGGGTCATTTTCGCAATTACCCCAAATGGAAATTTGATGTATTACATGTAAAACTGTTCCTAAATTGCCCTTTGTTGTTTTCAAGGTTGAGGCTGAACGAGCTTACCATCAGCATGTCCTTCAAATACTAGATCAGCTTGAAGGCGAGGTAGGTTCTAACTGTTCAATGTATTGATGCTTCATAGATAAGCTGAAAACTACTTTGTCTCGTCGTATGCTTTGATAAGTATACTCGAATTTATGCTTTTTATTCTCTTTTTTTTCTTTCTGCTTGTTTTATATCCAGATGATTTCCGAGCGCCAACGAATTGAAGCAGCTCCTGCTCCTGCTCCAAGCGTGAGCGTGGATACTATGCCTGCTCCACCTCCACCATCATATGAAGAACTAAATGGTGTGTCTACTTCACCAATGCAAAACGGGTTGACTGATAGTATGGGCTACTTCCTTGGGGAGGTTAGTTAGTAAATTGGAGATATTCCAATGAAGTTGATAATAGATGTTGATTGATGACAACTTCTTTTATACATTATTTGCTCTATCTTGCAGGTTTTGTACACATATCAAGCTGAATCTGATGTCGAGCTTAATTTATCAGTTGGTGACTATGTGGTCGTTCGGAAGGTTTGCTACTCTTGAACGAGCATGATATCTATTAATATTCTTTTTCACATTTTTCCTATGTTTTAATTTCCTAATCTTAGTTGTTACCCGTGTTTTGCAACCTAGACCGGACCACCAGTGGGTCAAACCGGAACTGGGAACAGCCGGATCAACTCGTGTGTTAATTTCCTATGTGCTAATTTCCAAACTTTCGTTTAAATTTATCTTCTGCTTTTTTCCCCCCAAGGTTTCAAACAATGGGTGGGCTGAAGGCGAGTGCAAAGGGAAAGCTGGTTGGTTTCCATTTGGATATATAGAGAGGCGCGACCGTGTTCTTGCAAGCAAGGTAGCTGCTGAAGTTTTTTGATCTACTGTCAGTGGGTGTGATTTCTAAATGCTCTTATGTATGTTTTCATAGTTTTTGATCTTTTTATCGTCGCCAGATATTTTTCTTGTGTTATATATTTGCACGTATTTTCTTTCATTTTTTTTTTTTTCATGTTTTTGACTTTTGGAAGGTTGTTATTTTATTTTGTATATCAGTTGAAATGTTACGATGTTTTAATTTTTTTAAATTATAGAACTTCATTCAGTCAAACAAATAATAAAGTTAAATCTAAAAGAAGTTCAACCAAACAACTAATAAAGTTAAATATAGAACTTACGAGTAATGCTCACCTACCCACAGTGGGCACATGTTAATATGCCCACCGTTTATGTGGCATGCACACATTGGTGATGTATTTTTTTGAACATATTAACATCACCACATAAGCGGTGGACATATTAACATGTGCCCACCGTGGGTAGGGGAACATTGTCCTAGAACTATATAGGCAGTTCTAAAGTTCTAAATGGGAGAATAAAACTCTTTACTAAGAGTCTACCTACTCCGAAAAAAAGGCACAACAGAAAAACCGAAACTAAAACACACAAAAAACCAGGAAAGGTTCCAAGACAATTTTGTTCTTTTGTTCTTTTTCTTTTTTAATATCCCTATATATTAATTCAAGACGTTGAACTTAGGTGGCAAATTCTCACGCTTCGGATGCTGACATGGTGAAAATTTATGCTTCGTGATGTTGTTTTTATATTATTTTGCTATGGAGTTAGGTTTGGTATTTGACATAAATAACTTTACACATATATTCATTAACTCAACACCCATGTTGTACATGAGTATTATTACTAGTATATGTATATATATAAACTCTTAGGGAAAAAAAAAACTTTTTTGTCATTTGAATTATAACTTTGAGCATCACCATGTATATATATTAACAAACC